ATCCATGTTGATACGCAGTCTCGGGCACGGAGTTCATCTCCCAGATCGGCATGCAACCGGAACAACATCTTGTAGTCAGCAGCGGTGCGCAGACTTCCATTAAGAGGACCCTTGCGCCACAACTTCCAAAAGTCATCGTAGTCGCCGTGCTGAAAGAGCGATAACATAAGGCTGCGGGCTTGCTCGGGTTCAAAGGGTAGGTCAAGGGTATCAATTAGGCGAGTCACCCGATAAAGGGAACTTTTGTTTCCAGTCTGTGCATCATTTGCTCCGTCTGGTGCGGTGGTGGAGGGGGAAATGGCAACTGCTCGATAAATCATGTCGAACACTCTCATATTGACAACATTGGTGCCCCGCAGAGAAAGATGTTCCAACACAAGAAGGGCTAATTCCTGGTCCGCTTCCGGAACTTGCCCTGCAACGTCCTCAGAGCTAGTCCCTGCTAGTCGGGGAGATAACAAGGCTGAAACAACCGAAAATGCTAGATCATCAGATACTAAGTAACCAGCGCATGTACATTCCGTGAACGCTGCATATAGACCCCGCTTTGTATACCCCGGGTGCTGTCTGGAAATCGCGTTGCAGAATAGGACAAGGCGGGCTATCGCTTTCTCTTCCGCTGAACTGACTGATAGCACATCATGGAATAGGCGCAGAAATAATGTCGAATCATGGTCTTCCGGTCCTTCTCCTAGCTCGATCCTGGCCTGAACGTCGGATAAATTTGAGAGGTGGTCAAAGAGTGCATCCATTGAGCGGAGTTTCTTTTCATTGTCGCTATGGTCATGGTCTCGGAGTAAAGACGATGACTGGGAACCTAGTGCTTCTTCCGTATCTTCCGCATGGATTGCTGCACGGTCGAACTTTTGGCTGATGGGACGATGATCGGTGTGAAGTAGCCTCTTCTGTCCGAACAAAGGGCTAGTGGGAAACCTGGAGGCATGTCCGAACTCACGGTCAGATGGTGATACGTTTATCGAATTGGAAGCACGAACCTCTTCGGAAGGTGCGCCTGGATTAACCTGGGAAAGTCTTTGCTTCTCTCGTTCGGATCGGTCCAGCGCCTTCTGCCAAAGGCTTTCAAGATCGACTTCGGCTCTCTTTTCCTCTGTGAAGATCTGCACGACAACCCTCGTGCCTGTGGCAGTGTGGCCAAACCCTTCAAAACTGTAGCTCTCATCCTTCTTGACGGGGGTTTCCTCCACTACACCGGCATTGACGCAGATCCAGCCCGTCGTGATTCCATCATCCTTTTCGTCAAACATAGTACCAGACCTACTGGCGAGTCTAGCACGCCGGGCTTTTCTCCGGAGCTTAATCTTCAACTCATTTCGACCAAGGAGTCCATCAGCGTAGGGAGACAGCTTGTAGGTACTTCTCAGCCAGCGGCAGAGACGGTCCGCGGACACATTCAAGTGCTTGACACTACGAGCAGTTCCAATTATCATAATCACGTTGGCACCAAGAGCCGGCGGAGTCTCCAGTCCGCGCAAATCAATCAACTTCAACGCATCGAGACCAATGTCCTTGAACACGTAGTCAAGGAGTGCAGGAAGGATGGCTGGAGGGTTCGTTGGCAGTTCTGGGATCTGGTCTCGCGAGAATGTCTGCTCTGACTCGGCCAGAGGTGCTTCTTCTTGTAGATACCATGGGATATGAGGTGTGCTCTCCGACGTGGAGTTTCCTGTCAATTCATCTTTTGGTTCAAGTGCCGGCGGTACTGCGGAGGACGAGGATGAAGGCTGCTCAGACTGGAGGCAAGATACTGAAGCAAAAGATCGGTTTACTGGGTGGATTGCCGACCGGTATACCGCGGCGCGGGAGACGGAAGGAGGCGCGCGAAGGGCTGTCCCGGACGACCAGGCAGCTCTCAACAATGCCCTGTTCATGATGGTCAATATTGCGGCAGTAATGGTACCAAACGAGAGCTCGACAGCTTTCTTCGCAGTGGCGACAAGCAGCGCAACTGGGGAAGCTGCTGAAAGGCAAACAAGACAAACAATGACTAAGGACGGTGTCAGCAAGCAAACAGAGCAAACAAAAAGTTCTCGCGGCGGGGCAAATATTGATCCCCATGACAAATCTAAATTTCGCTTCATCCTTCAGCGAGCAGGAGTCGCCGGCTCTTCTAACATCCCTTTCATTACCTTCTTGTTTATTTGGTGTCAGGCCTCATCCCTGCTTCCAACATGTCGATGGACCTGGATGCGCCGGTGCCTTTCGAGGCCATCCCGCAAGATCAGATCGCTGCGACGTGAGTTACCCCGCAAATTAAAAGAAAATTTCTCTATAAACATACACGAGGGGCAGTATGATCGAGGACTTCAACTAACAAATGTGCTTAATAGTATCCTTTGTTGCAACTGTGGCGCGCCCATCGATGGAACAACATCCGCAGGCGCCCTTTGCCAGGACTGTGTGAAATTGACGGTTGATATCTCCCAGGGCATCCAGAGAGAGGCAGTTCTCCACTGCTGCAAGGACTGCGAGCGGTGGCTTCAACCTCCCACCAGCTGGGTTAGTGCTGCGCTCGAATCGAAGGAACTCCTCGCACACTGCTTGCGCAAGCTCCGCGGCTTGTCCAAGGTTCGCATTATCGATGCCAGCTTCATCTGGACCGAACCCCACTCGAAGCGTATTAAGGTCAAGATCACCATCCAGCAGGAGGCATTCCAGGGCACCATTGTGCAGCAGACTTTCGAGGTTGAATACGTTGTCGCCTCGCTACAATGCCCTGACTGCAAGAAGTCGTTCACTGTCAACACTTGGAACTCCAGCATTCAGCTGCGCCAGAAGGTGCCTCACAAGCGAACCTTCTTGTACCTTGAGCAAATCATCCTCAAGCACAACGCTCACCGCGATACAATCAACATCAAGGAGGCCAAGGACGGTTTGGATTTCTACTTTGCGCAGAGGAATCATGCGGAGAAGATGGTCGAGTTCCTCTCCTCCGTCGTCCCCACCAAGGTCAAGAAGTCGCAGGAGCTTATCTCCATGGATATTCACACCTCCACGAAGTCATACAAGTTCACCTTCTCGATTGAATTGATCCCTATCTGCAAGGATGATTTGGTTGCGCTGCCCATCAAACTTGCCAGATCACTGGGCAACATCTCGCCCCTGGCCCTCTGCTACCGCGTCGGTACCTCTGTCAACCTTCTCGACCCCAACACGCTCCAGACCGCCGATGTCCCGACAAACACCTACTGGAGATCACCCTTCAGGAGTCTTGCCGATGTGACGGAGCTGACCGAGTTCATCATCATGGATATTGAGCTGGTTGGACGGTCGAACGGACGGTTCTATCTGGCCGAGGCAACTGTTGCCCGTGCCTCGGATCTTGGCTCGAACGATCAAACCTATTTCACCCGCACCCACCTGGGTGGAGTACTCCACGTCGGTGACTCTGTTCTCGGTTATCACCTGACTGGTACCAATTTTAACGACCCCAACTTCGAGGCGATCGAGGCTAGTGGCCAGTACAGCTCCGCGATTCCCGACGTTGTGCTCGTGAAGAAGTTCTATGCCCGCAAGAAGAAGAACAAGAACCGCAACTGGCGTCTTAAGCGCATGGCTCTTGAGTACGAGGAGGAGGCGGCCCAGCAAGCTGCTGGCAACCTCAACCGTAAGCAGGAAGCCGAGCGCAACCGCCTTGAAGAGGACTTTGAGATGTTCTTGCGCGATGTTGAAGAGGATCAGGAATTGCGTGGCACTCTTGATCTGTACAAGGCACGGAACCGTGCCCCCGTGGAGCACGGTGGTATGGATATGGATGAGGATAGCGAAGATGATGAGGTGCCCAAGATCAACATGGATGAGCTGCTTGATGACTTTGACGAGTTGAACATGGACGATGACCATTAAGTTCCACGGGACTTTTTTTAATCACGACTGCACATAGGGGTTTCTGGCGTTTTCATGGCTATTCTGATATCGTTATGGTTAACAATATCCGGTCTGATACACAAAAAGTTGGGTATATAGATGAAGTGAATGATTAGACATTGATTAGGAGTGAAGTCTGAGTTGTAATCCCTCATTCCGAAGTATACCTTCACATCCAACATGATCATCGTGAACATCGTATCTGCCGGCAGTAACTGCAGAGATTGAACAATCATGATTCGGCTGCCCTATTTAAATTCAGTTCCTGCAGGCCTCATCTTCTTCCTTCCACACAACTCGATCATATCCTAGATCCACACTTGAGTAATTCCACCCAAGATATAAAGTAGGCTTTCGTCCCACAAGTCAGTTCATTACTACCACAATGCCCTAGTCGCTTCTGGTCACACGATAAGGTTCAGGAGATGGCATGTTGTGGTGTTCCTAGATGAAAGAAGCACCGAGAGATCAGAAAATCTAGTTCATCTCAATCCGCTGGCACATAGATCACATTCAGGGCACTACTTTTCTCAGAGTCCTGTGGCATGGATGAAGATAAAACCAAGCTGTACAATTTTTGTGCTTGAAAAGACCAAGCAATTCAATTATATGATTCTGTCTTTATGAATCTATACAATATAATTAACCAAGATACTGGCAGAAAACGCCATTAAAGACGTACCGAAGTCTTTTCTTCAAGCACCACCTATGAATTGGAAACTACACGGAAAAGCATGCCGTTTTTTTTAACCATTGCCTCAATGCCAGTACTCTGCTAGTGCAGCCTGGGTGTCACAGCATCAACAAGTAATGTTCTTCATAGCGGCTCATCTCACCATTTTCCTACTCAGTACTATACTAACAGATCAGAGGTGATGACAATGGTGTGCTAGGTGGTGCATACACTATCTTAGAGCTAACAAAGTGGAACACTGCCCTCCTGGACGACAATACTAGGTATGTCCATATAATAACAAAATCATCTTGCGGACCTCGTCCATAGTCGTCTTCGTGACACACTAGGGGCTACCGATTATTAGACAGTATACTTCCACCATTATGTCAAGTGGGCTTTATGATTCGGTCCTTTTTTTTTTACTCAGAGCTACTTGAGGATGTACTTTACCTTCTCAGTTATAAATTCATTCCGTCACGGTCTAGCGGGTGGTGTAATATGCATCGAGCCATGCCCATTATCTGCGCATTATAGGATGCCTCATGAGCAGCCAAGTTTCAGTCCTGTGCCGAAAGTGTTCCAAAACATCTGCGAAAAGTCAAGTTCTCTTCTTATCGATGCAGATTCCGGTAGCGTGGTGGGTCAACCTAAAGGAAAGGTTCGCCCAGTCATTGAACATTCATGACCAGAACGACATGGCCCTTCCCAGACAATTGTCCAGTAGTAACCTTTACCACAACAAATCATGGCCAAAGTCGCTGACTATACTCACCGTCTATAATGAATGGCAATTCAACGTTCTACGACAGGCCTGTCCATCCGATCTCATGGAAGTACGCTGGCGTTGGTGGCCATCGAGGCCGAGATTTCTTCGAGGCTACACCTGGGATTGTTCAAAAACTTTCCTCATGTACAACGACGAATCGATGTTATCTTCTATAATACGAGTTCGACAATATCACATTTATCCACATAGAAGCTATCAATGACATCTTGTTGGATTGGCCACATGGCTATAGTTTCATTGTTATCTCAATATAGCGCTCCACCTGCACAATTATACCAGATCTTTGCAGAAATCGTCCAGATAACCTTCCTATGCGCTGACTTGCGTTATCGAATGTCGTTATTCTACCCTATCAACACAGCCATTGCACATAAACAGAAGCATGAGAAACACGATATGTGTGCTATTCATGCATACAATTTATCGTCTTCCTAATTGCACTCCTCTGCGAGAAGTTCGCTCAGGCTTCTCCTCCTCTATTTGAATAGAAAACTCGTTCTTCTTATAATCCTGCCTGAAACTTAATGCCTGTCAGACAATTGCTAACACAACATTTGCCCGAAAAGTCCGTTCTAATGTATCTCCATCACACGACTATAGGCAATGTGGAAATCAACATCTCTTCAAGATAATGGCGGGAACCTCTAGAGTGGTCACGCTTACTACTTCCGTATGAAGACTTGATGGGATACCTTATGTTGTTGCTAGTATACAGAAATTTTTACTGAATACCGCTTCGAGGCGTGCTCAGAACTTAGCGGTTATCAGTTCTTCGATGGAAGCCAGATGTCCTCGACTTCACCACTCAATCACAATAATGATAAACACGGTCAAAAGACCTTCATCAAGCATGATGGCTCCATACTTTACTGCAAGTTTTTGATCTCTGCCCAACATGCTAATTATATGGAAGTGCAGGATCTAGTCGATGGTGCAGCCCATGGTCAGGTGTCGCGTGATATACTCCCTGCATTATGCGCTGGACTCTACCGCACGCGCGTATATGTCTCTTTTGGGTTTCAGAACTCTGGACATTCGAAATCAAAGAATGAGAATCTGCGAAGAGGCTACTCATGATAGGCCGTCAATAACATAGGAAGCGGTGTCTGACTGGGCGATAATTCAAAACATGTCTATGACACAATCTGCTAATGCTTTACAGCGACTGTTTGACCCCAGCCCAGGTGGTGTTGGGCATGGATGAACCTATAGAGTCTATACCAAGTCGATGAAGACTATGGGATGGCAGCTATTGCATATCAAGGGCCGAGCATGGGATGTTCGAACCAGGTTATGAAGGGAAGTATACCATTGCGTAGACCACATACCAGACTTTGATGGCCAACACAGTCTGTCGGTAGTATCACAATGGTATACAAGATACTCTCCAGCAAGTAGTATAAATCGACCGACAAGATTCTGGAGAGGTTCCCCTATACTCTTAAGGAATGCTTTGGACTGCGTTCTTATCTCAATCAAAGACCAGATCTTAAACAAACGTCCCGCTACCGCCGGTTAGGTTTACTTAAAGACATAGGTGATGGCAAGAGTCTCTATTGTCGAAGTGTTGAATCGTTGGTCGCAACTTCGGTCGATATTTAGCTCGACGAAGATTCTTAAACTTCGCGGACACTACTGTTCTCGGGTTGGTAAGCTAGGGTTATAGGCGGAGTATCTTTACACTCTGACAGGGTCAGAAAGAGCAAATTCGGTTCGAAGTACGGAGATAGTAGGGCCGCGTGTGAAGACCTCTTCCTTCTCTACGAACTGCCAGGAGCAGATCTCCGCATCCGTACCAAAGCCCTAGTACCAGCATATACCACCACAACCATAGACCAATGAACAACACAATAGGGATATCTATTAACCAAGTAAGAAAACCTAGACTACATAAATGAGAATAGTAGATCAAAAAATCTTCCCCAACACCCTCTTCGTATCGTCCCCAAGTCTCCCCGGATCCTCCGCACTCTTATCCCTCCCCAACTTAACCTCATTCTGCTTAAACACCATGCGCACCTCCTTCGCACTATCCTTCTTCTTCTTTCCCTTCTCCTCATTCTTTTTCTGAATCCCCTCAATAACCTTGCCCTTCTCATACCCCTCCAAAAACACCTTATCCTCCTTCCTGGCCCTCGAATCCTCCACCCTCTTCCTCGCCTCCCTCTCCGACCTCTCCCTCTGCACTTGCTCCATCAGATCCGCCCACCTGAACCCCTTCAAATACTTCATATTCCACACATCATCATGGTACCACCCGCCCTTCTTCCCCCCGATAATCGTAGCATTCAGCGTCTCCGCGCAGATCTTCGCCGTCTTCTTCGATGCAAACTCAACCCATCCGTCCGAGTACGTCTTCCGCTTGTTAGATCGGCGGCGGGGCGCGCTGGCGGGGCGCACTTCAGGCGATAGAAAGACCCGCGTGATGGGCCCAAATGATCGGGTTTCGAGGAGGTTCTTGAGCGCGAATGGTTTCAGGTACGGTGGGAGGGAGGAGAAGTAAATCACTCCAGTTTTGTTTTTCTTGGGGGCCTTCTTGGCTTTATCGAGGGGTTTCTTGCTTGTTGATTTCTTGGCTTCGACTTCCGTTGTGGCGTCGAGGTAGTGGTCTTCATCGTTGTTGTAGTCGTTCTCCTCTTCCTCATCATCCTCATCGTCCGATCCAGCCTGTTTCTTGCTCTTGGATTTGCTCCTCCCCTTCATTACCACCCTCTCATCCTCACTGTCCCCCAACCCAACCCCGTTGTCCGACTCATCCTCCTCCGAGTCGTCGTTCAATCCGTGTAGATCATTCGTCGACTGCGGTTGGGGTACTGGCTGCATGCGCCGGCGCTTCACGGCCCGGCCTTTGCTCTTTTCTTGCTCCGCCGCTTCGGAGTCGTAGCCGCGGTCGTTGGCGGACTCGTCGTCGCTTTCGGCGATGCCGAGGAAGTCGTTGCGCTTGCGGGTGGTCATTATGCTAGAGGATTTGTATCTTGTCTGATGTGTATGTCATAGGAGAAGAGAAAGAAGTCGGTCGAATTGGGAGTTGATGGAGAGAAGTTCATCGAACGGGAACTTTTTTTGGGTGGTCTGTGCGCCGCGGTGGGTGGCCAATCGGAGGGGTGGATTTTCGGACTTCATTCATGATCTACTGACTTACTTCATGTAAACTTGTAGGCAAATAGTATCTAGAATTTTCGGTCTGCAAGGAACAGTATCTTTCATGAAGGTAACATTGTTAGACCATTTCAAGTACGTATACTCGACAAGTGACTCCTAGCTGGATGGTTTAACGGCTCTGTATGATTTGCATATGACCGCGATAAGATGTTCAGATCGCTCCAGCTATCAACTGATCACAACTCTCAGCTCTCACTGAGATAGTGGGCAGCGCTAGCCATTCTAAAATGTATATGTATATACAATATTCCGTCATCCGTTCCCATGAGAGCTAAGCCCAGACCAAGCTCTCGTGCATGCGATAATTTGGGTATGAACAAATGCAGGTGCAGGTATCGAATCCAACGACGCCAACTCGGTATATATCTAGACAAAAAATGAAGACAAATGATGAAAATCCACAGTGGTTTAGCTTGGTTCCTAAATGCCAAGTCTTCCCTTCAACCGATCATAAACGAAAAACCCGGTGGCTGTCATCGGGATCACCTTGAGGTATCCGATCGTCAGCCCAACCCAGAACCCCCGGAAGCCCCGTTCGAGGAATATCGTACGGGCAGTCTCGACAATGCCGAGTCGGTGGCCATCGCCGACGACACCGCCGACTTGCATGCGTCGTCGCATCACTTCGAACGGATACGAAGAAGTCTGCGACACAACACCCGCGATCGCTCCGGAGAAAAGCTCCGCGGCAGCTGTCAGTTGCTGCCGGTGATGTTTCTTCGGGTGTCCAGTTTCTTCATGTTCAGGTATCGTGGTGTAGGGAGAAAGCATCGGCGATTTCAGCCAGTCGCCGACGGTATCGTGAGTCAGGAAGGATATTCCGGCGTAGGGAAGCATTCCCATGAGAGTCGGGCCGAATCCACGGTAGAAGTTGGCCAGTCCAGAACGCGGAACAACTTTATTCACCGTCGATGAGACACTCTCTGCAGTGGCGGTCACTGGGGCTTCCGATATTGATGCCCCCGTCGATGATGGCATAGTGATCCGCTCGTTGTAAATCTGTCGAATGATGTCGCGGAATGAAGAGCGAGACGTGCGTTTCGTCTCAAATGCTAAGCGTACTCGAATAAGCTCTAACGGATACGTAAAAAAGACAGACGTCATGCCGGCCATGCTTCCAGAGACAAGTCGGCGCAGAGGCGTTTCTTTGTCGCGCGACGGAATCACCACTGCCCGAATTTGCTCGTAGGCGAGGAACTTGATAGCGGCATAGGGGAAAATGCGGAGTAATGTCGCTGAGTGGCCCTTGAAGAGACCCCTAGGGCCCTCGTGGCGTCTGATATCGCGAACAGCCGATATTAAGCCAAACCAGCTACCGGAGTATTTAGCGAATTGTGGATTGGACGCTTGAAACAGAATCTTAACGCGATCGAGAGGAGCAACAACGGTTTTGGCCTAGGTGACACAAGTTAGTCTACCACGTCCGGTTCGCATTCCGATGCTCTGCGTTCCTGCAGAAGCAAAACTCACCGCACATCCCGCCAAACCCCCCGCCACTCCACTTCGTAGTAAGTAGTCCACGCTCCGCTTGTTGACTTCTTGCGTTGCGCCATGGCTCTTTTGCGATGGACGCGGGGTGGAGGCATCATCGACGGCCGTCGTCTGCGCCGTACCCACGGCTAAGCGATCAGTTGTATCGCCTGGTGTCGAGCCTCGGGCCGGTCTCGACTGTGCGACTTGCTCCATCTGAGGAGAGGGTGATTGCGAATTTCTTGAGGATGGTGATGCAGGACGGAACTGTGAGGGGTCGGATCCGGTAGCAGAAGAGTCAGGCTGAGCATGGTCCGAGATGACAGCCGACATGAGCACAAGTCTGGCACGAGACCCGGTGCTTCTTCGGGGAGAGGAGACTGCAGCAAGGTCTGTTGCGGACTAGCGGAGGATCGGGGCCATGGAGATAGGATGCCGCGAGATAAACAGTCAGAAAGATTTCTCTTACACTGGAGATAGGGTTCGACAAGGAGAATAGCAATGATCAAAAGAGAAAAGCCTAGTAACTGGCAGCGCCCCAGACACCAGGCGTAGGATGATAAAGCATCGTCATGGTGGCACTCCACCAGGCGGCCTGAAGAGCGGAAACTCAGAATCGCCGGGGATGACGTTACGGGCTGACGTGCCGATACCAGCCGGTGCTACTGCTCAGTCAGCTGAATACCGTCACATAACACCTCGGCTTCCGAGTGGCGGGCGGTCGTAATTTTCCGGATTTGGACGGCCAACCGCAGCCGCGGCGTTACTCATCTGGGAGATAAAGATAGATAGATAGCTACACTACTCCGTGCTAGAGACTTGGATCAACTGAACCTCTCCCCGGGCAAATAATGTACAATACCCGCGAGGCGAAGGCGGGCAGGTCTCTTTATTTTAGAAGCTTATATATATACTTGGTGGTGCCCTGTGAATCTCGTCCTCCGCAGCCCAGTAACACTCCCCTTTCCCATCTATCACGAACTCAAGTATAACATAGAATGGAAATATATGCGGGAAATCAAAAGCATCATGGTCGCGTCGCTCATGCAATTCTATAGAAGTACTAACCTTTTTTGGGTTGCTGACGACTCCCGAGTATCCTCAGCAATGCATGCAGTTCCACCCCCCAAAACACCTGTATGTCCAAAAATCAAAACGAAAGAGAACTCTCAATGAGCTACTTTAGAAGTTGTATCGGGTGCCCTGTCGTGTGAGCGGTTTGCCTTGACGGTTGGTCGCCTTGATTTCTTTGGGCTCATCCGTCATCCTCTTGGCCCGCTTCGTCGGCCGTGAAGCATCCACATGAAGATGACCATTCTCCGACAATGCCGTGGTATTGCGCCAGCGCATGCAACGATGCTTGTTGTCATCCACATACGTCTTGTTCCGCGTCATCACGCGTTTGGCCGGAACATCCTCCGGCTCCTCCTCGTCGGACGTCGGCTCCAAGTACTCTTTGCGGTGTTTCATGTACTTCACGATATTATCACGCTGCAGCAGCAGTTCCTTGCGGAGTTTGGACTCGCGGTGGCCCCGTGAATCAAGCCAGTCGAGAAGGGAGTCGATCGCTTCTGGGTCCTCATAGTAGCCCCATTCGGTGGCATTGGTGAGTCTGGTGTGACCTTCCTCGGTCTTCTTGCGCTCTGCGGGAGTGGTCTGGAAATCCTTCTGGTATTGCTTCCTCAGATCATCTGAGACGTCGATAAATCCCACACGCTCCATCTCATCGGGTCCTTGAACCCATAGGCGACCGTTGGCATACTGCGCTTCTGCCGTTGAGCTGTTGGGCATCCCACCGTATGGCATGGCGTTCCGCTCGAACCACCAGTAGCGGTTGCAAAACCGATCCTTACCAAGACATCTGGTCCGCGGGCAGTCGGCTTCCCTTAGATCATTATCGACAACATTGATCTTATCTTCAAGCTTCTGGATGTTGGCCTTTTGGTCATCAATTTTCTTGAGCACTCGTTGGAACTGCTTGGAACCCTTCGGCTGCTTGGCGAGTTGTTCTTTTCTTTCGCGTTCTTCCTCCTGCTTGCGCTTGCGCTCCAGCGCCCGGTCTATGCCTCCACGGAGCGTCCGCTGAGGAACTTCTTCCTCATCCGAATCCACAGCTTCCGAGTCGCCGTCCATGCCGGTCATTTTGGAATCTTCCAGGGCCTCCAATTCAGGTGCTGGACTGGGTGACTTCTCGGGCTCGGGTTGAAGAGCTTTGCGCTCCTGGTGTAACCGGCGGAGTTCTTCAAGACTGTGATCATGATAAAGTTAGCCAGTCTATCAACAAAGCTTTCATGCAAACGGGAATCAGTCCAACAAGCTATACATACGCTGCCTTGCGCGCCTTCTGGTACTCGATCTTCTCCTTGCGGAACTCGGTCATCTGATTACTGCACTCCTCCAGATAGTTGCGAATGGCCTTTGTCTCCAGACTGAGCATGCAGATAATCTGGAGAGCCTGGACACGTAGGTTCACATCCAGTGTAGAGTACTGGGCTTGTGCAGTCTCCTGGGTGGGCTCCGCGTCCAATGGAGCTAGGTGCTTCAAAATCTCATTGCACACCTTCTCCATCCGTGGACGGGCTGACAATTGGTGCAGGAGTCCGATCATCACCAATTCCCAACCCCCGTTGCGGAAATCACGCTTTCGCAGGCGATCAATCCAACCGTACTCCCCAAACATCTCTGCAGCGCGATGGATCTTGACCTCGACGGAGCTCGAACGATCCCGATCCGCCTGCGCCTTGAGATTCTCTGCTTCAGCCTTTGCGAGGCTGCTCCGAGTAGTCATTCTTGTGACCACTGGTTCAGGTTCAGGTGTCGGTTCTTCCTCTTCTTCCTCGTCCTCCTCAGATTCGTCGTCTTCCTCGTCTGGAAGTTCCGGTAGAGATATCTGGACAGCACCATTCTCATCCTTCTCCGCATTGACCAACTTCTTCAGGACGGCGCAGTGCATCTCCACGAATAGCTCACAGTCCACGTCCTCGGATGAAAACCGCATAGCCTGAACGAAGTCATCGAAAGTGAACGAATCGAGCTGGAAAACTTCGCAATAGACGTTGAGAGTGTTCCACGTTTCGAGGAGACGCCCGACTGATTCCAAATCGATATCATCATGCAGAAGATCGGCATCCTCGGGATCATCCGTTTCGTCCACGGTTAAGAACTTCAATTCTGGGCGTTGCTTCTTCTTTTCGCGATCGGGCGCAATATCTAGATCCTCGATAGGGTACTTGATCGGGGGAGGGGATGGCTCCTTGGGAGGCTCGGCCTTCACGACAACCGCAGGGGCAGGCTGTGGCTTCTTTTCCGTCTCCTGGGTCTTGGTGGATCGGGCTGCTCCGTTTGTAGGCTTGTTGGCGACAACGAAAGTGGGATTGCCGTTGAGTGAGCGTTGGTATTCGAGGAACTGTGCTTCTTTGTTTCGAGCCATGTCCTGTTGTGACTTGCCTTTCTGGCCCTTGACCGCGGGCTTCAACTCGGGTAATTGCTGTGATGCGAAAAAGCCAAAGAAGCCCTCCTGGTCCGCTTTCTTCATCGCCTTCTTCTCCGCAACCTTTGCCCCGTACTGCAGGTGCTTTGGTACTTCAGTCGGAATCCTAAACTCCTCCGCAATAGAAGGTTTCACCAGCCACGGTGCACCATTCCACGATTCTCGAGTCACGTTGTTCTTGATGAACGCACGCAGCATTTGCTTGGTGAAAGTCTTCCGGTCGCGAGTGATGTGCTCCTGGTCCAATAGCGCCTCTTCATTTGGACGATCCATAACTTTGACAAGATAGGTGGAATAGGCGGGCCTTTTGAGGGTTCCATCGGGGTTGAGCTGGTCCGGAAAATTCACTTTGTCTCGGATTGTGCCGTGGAGACGAGTATTATCATCCAGTAAGATCAGGACAGGTTCTCCGGGGTAAAAATCCTGCTTAAATTCCTGTTACGGGTTAGCGAATTAAGAACAGGCAAACCGATTCCTAACCACGTAGTTACCTCGTAAATTTCATCCACTAACATGCGCATGTTAGCTTTCACAAAATGTCTAAGGTATCGACCAAGTATGAACCTACCAAGATTATCGACCCGCGATACTGTGGAAAACTGGATTCGGCGCAAAATAGGCTCTTTAAGAGCATCAGGGAATGCGCTGTTAACTTCGCGCGATTCCTCCATCTAGCAGGGCGTTAGCGTCCGCAAACATAAATGCGCGAACAAGTTTTTCGCGTACTTCGCTTCGAAGAGCCTCGAAAAATGTCAGGCCCGAGTGGCCTGTTATCTCGCAGATAAACCTCCGCTGCTTATAGAAATCCATTCTCTGCAGATACGGTTCATAGTTGACGAAAACTTCGTTGGTCTCTGGGATAACCCAGACCTGCAATCTCAAGTTAGCAGGTACGTCGATCGAAGACTTGAGGGGTATGCATGCCTCGGAGCTATCATCTTCAATGACCGGTCGAGGAAGGTACTGGACCGGTTTCCGCTTGAACAATACCTAAACAGTCAAGTCAGTCTCGTTGCAAATTCCTTCCTGTCAGACGTTCTGTCTCGTATCCAGCGCATTGTGAAATATCTTCGCGACATACCATGGTCGTTCAAGGAAGAATAGTGATAGTACGATCGTTCATAGATTGCTCGGGGTGGTGGAAAGCATGGATGTGACTAGAAAGCGCAAACAATAGTTAGTTATATGAATGGCAGAGACAAAGGACAAAGAATTCAGAGGATAAAGAGCAATGCGCGGTGCAAAAAGAATCCAAAGCACGTGGGAGACTCATTGTGCTCGAAGACGTGGGTTCAATGCGAAATGCCTGCGCGCGGAGAGATCCTTAGGATCCATAAAAGGCAATCCGATGGCGCATCTGCAGGCCTGGGCAGTCGCCAACGGGCATGCGAGGCTTTGATGGGAGAGCAGATCGAGAATTTACTCACACGACGCGTGTTCAGTCGCGCTTCACACCAGTTTCGCGGACCGGAGGCGACCAAGACACGAGACGAGGGAAGCGTGGAGCCGCGAGCTCAGTCGAAAGTGGAGTCGAGATCTAGATGCGGGTATAATATCCCAGGGAGACGGGGCTGCGTGCGGGGAAGATGCGCGAGGCGTGAGGGACGGCAGCAGGG